GTGGGCAGGGATGTTGCTTCTCAGTTGGAGATCTCTCATTTGATGTTTGCTGATGATACTTTAGTTCTTTGTGATGCGAATGTGTCCCAGATTAGATATTTGAGATGTATTTTGATTTGGTTTCAAGTTGTCTCCGGCCTTAAGGTGAATGTGGGCAAGAGTGTTTTGGTGCCGGTTGGGGAGGTCCCTGAGATTGAGATGTTTGCTGACATTCTTGGTTGTAGGACTGGGTCATTTCCCATTTCTTACTTAGGTTTGCCTCTGGGTGCTCCTTCGAGATGTGTAGGAATTTGGGACCCAGTGGTGGACAGATTTGAAAGAAGGCTAGCGGGTTGGAAGAAGCAGTATCTTTCCAAGGGCGGCAGGGTCACTCTGATTAAGAGCACCCTCTCTTGCCTCCCCACTTACTTTATCTCTCTTTTTCAAATTCCCTCTTCAGTTGCGGAGAGGATTGAGAGGTTGCAGCGTAATTTTCTTTGGGGAGGTAGAGCTGAAGAGTTTAAGTTCCATTTGGTGCGATGGGATCAGGTTTGCAGGCCTATTCGGAATGGTGGGTTGGGTCTCCGTAGATTGGTGCCATTTAATAAGGCCCTTCTCGGGAAATGGTTGTGGAGATTTGGTGTGGAGAGACGTTGGCTTTGGAGGAGGGTTGTGGCGTGTCGTTTTGGGGAATTGAGAGGAGGGTGGAGTTCCTTGGAAGTGCGGGATCCTCGGGGGGTAGGGGTCTGGAAAGTGATTCGGAAGGGTTGGGATGAATTCTCTAAACACATTCGATTTCGTCTTAGAGATAGGAGGAGGATTTGCTTCTGGGAGGATGTGTGGTGTGGAGATGTTCCTCTCGCTCTCGCTTTTCTTCAGCTTTACAGGATTGCTTCGGATAGGCAGGCCATGGTGGTCAACTGTTATCATCTTGATAATGGGAGACTGGTTTGAGATGTTCGTTTCAGGCGTCACTTTCAGGATTGGGAGATCGAGGAGGTCATTCGCTTCTTGGAGCTGCTTTATCGCCAAAGGATTGTGGAGGAGGATTCGGATTGTTGGTCTTGGGTAGCAAACTCTCATGGGCGTTTTGAGGTGAGGTCCTTCTTCAAGTGTATCTCATTTGATCCTGATGTTCGTTTTCCTTGGAAGTCTGTTTGGCGCTCCAAGGCTCCTCTCAAGGTGGCTTTCTTTGTGTGGTCTTCGGTTATGGGTAAGATCCTAACCCAGGATAATTTGCGAAGGAGAAGCCAAGTGGTGATCAATCGTTGTTTTATGTGCCTTCGTAATGAGGAATCAGTGGATCACCTTCTCATTCATTGCTATGTGGCTAGAGAGTGTTGGGATTTGATGCTTGGCTTATTTGGGCTTTATTGGGTTATGCCTAGATCTACAAGAGGGTTGATTGAGGCTTGGAGAGGTTGCCCTGTGGGGACTCACAGTCAGGATGTGTGGAGGGCTACACCGCTTTGTGTATGGTGGTGCATTTGGCTTGAAAGGAATATGAGATATTTTGAAGGAAAGGCGATGTCGATTTCGGTGCTTAAATTCTCGATTATTTTCACTTTTTTTTGTTGGGTTTTAGGGAGAGATCATAGATCTTTGAAGGAAATTGTTGATTTTTTGGCCTCTTTGAAGGATTGAGTGGCCTTTTTGTATTGTTCTTGGGTTCCACTCCCCCCTGGAGTGTTTTTTTTTTAAATTTTTATTTATTTATCAAAAAAAAAATTTTTTGGTGAGTTTTGAAAGAATAGTATTCATTTTTAGAATATATAAATACTGTAAACAATTGGAAAATTCATTTGGTTATCATTTTTCTTTTTTTAAATTTTGTCTATGAAAACCGAGTTAAAAAAGGCTTGTTCTCAATGACTAGTCTTTTTGTAGTTCCCTAAAGATTGTTTCCAATAATTGAACCAAGTAGCCCTTTTTAATGCATTAGTTTTTAGCTTCGATTTGAATACTTACTCAAGAGTTATTGTTTTTTTGAAAGTGAAGTTTAATGGTAATTGGAAAAAATTTCATAATGATCCCTCGTGTTTGTTAGGTCCCTAAAAAGAAATGGAAATGGGTGGCACCCACAAAAGTAGGAGTTTAACTTGGCTCAGTATGGTGATATAATTATTATTTTCTATTAGAAAAAGACAAATTTGATAGGCAATTAATTATGTAAAAAGGTGGACATCATGTCCTACCATCAAAGTAAAATAATTTAATAGGACTATCCCCAAACAAAAACTTAATCAAAATCAAGTGGGTGGTGATGACCGGACGCTTAAGGATTGTTTCCCTCATCTTAGCCAGGATGTTTGCTCTCATTTCCTGACCTGTAGATCCAATAAGGAACCATGCACGACAGTCTCTGTCTTATCAAATGATTGTAATTTTCAGCACTTTTTTTTTTTTTGCTTTTTTTTTTTTTTTTTTCTTTTTTTTTCCTTCTTTGGCTTAGTTTTTTTAATTAAAGATTGCCTCTTAAGTGATGGCTTGCATCCAAAAAGCAAGCTCTTTAAGCTTTGAAGCACACTTAAGATATCCACATTAATAGCATTTGCTTGATGGGTGCACTATAAATAGCATAATATATCCTTCGGTGTGATCTCTAAACCTGACATTGTCAACTTTGCTTGGAACTTTTGATATCAAGTTTAGAACTTTAATGATTCCAGTAGGAGAAGTTTATTACACCTCTTTCCCATGTCCGCTATTCCCTTTTTTGGATGTCCCAAATTAGTTGTCTCCTTAAAAAAGTCAAAGCAAATAAATGTTATCTTTCTATCATTGTTCTTTTTGTTTTCAAAAAAATTCAAACTTGGTAACTATACATATTTAAACTAAAAAGGACAAGTTAGTAATTTTAAAAGGAGACCATGCATTTATTGCATGTCCCCTTAAAAACTTCTAATTATAAACATGGACATCTAATATGGGATGGAGGGAGTATAAACTTAGGACTTAGCCTTTTTATTACCATATAAAGAGTACAATCAAGCTCTTTGAATTAATATAAAGGCACCTTCTTTTTTGTTGGATAATATCCATTAAAGGGTTCCAAAGGCGTCCAACCTATGCACAGATGCGTTTACACCGCCAAAATCAACCTATAAAAACATATATATTTATCTCCCCTGTAAATATATGCAAATAGAGCAATCACCATTTCTATCTCCTTTTGCATTACCCACATGAAAACCAATCCTCTCCTCCCTCTGTAGGCATAATGTAATTTGGTGCAATGGCCTCAATTTTAATTCAAGTCTAAATAAATTTATATATGTCTCCTCTAAAGGACTATTCCCATGTCAATGGTTATACCTAAATTTCACCCTTTGTCCATTTCTCGTAACAAACATAATATATTTTGAGAACTCTCAGCTGCCGCCTTTTCTTCTTTATTTTTAATACTCTTCTAAAGATCCACCCTATGAGAGGAGCGAACTTCACTCTCAGCCAATAACCTCTACCACTATCACATACTTCCTCTCCATCGCTATTCTCCAGGAAGCATTCCTTTCCTCCATGTATCTTCCTAATTGTTTCCCAGAAGGGCTTGGTAAAAAGTCTCAGATTTTTTTTTTTGATAAGTAAAAAGTCTCAGATTTTTCATGCCCTATCCCACGTTTTTAAATGGAAAATGTGTCTTTTCTTTCTTTCTTTCTTTCTTATTTCCCTGAAAAAATGGTGTTTGAACTCATCCCTTATTGCTATCGTTAATTGTCCCTATAAATTTTTTATAACCTATTCTCTGTTAGGGGTTGAACTATAGAGATAAACATAAAATACAAGGGGAAGTTTGAGAAGAGTACTTTTTTAAGTGCGAGTCTAACTTATTTCGAAAGATATTGCCATATCGCCTCATCAGTCTTGCCAAACTCCTCTCAACCCACTCTTTCATGTCTAGTTGCTCTCAAACAGCTTTATCATGTTGTCCTTGATTTGAAGGAAGAAAGCCAAGTTATGACATAGGTAGAGTTCCCAACCTAGTTTCCAAAGTGTCCGCTAGATTGGCTACTTTAATCACCTCCCTTATCTGGATCAATTAATTCTTTTACAAATTAGTTCTTAAGCCCTTGCTTACTTTAAAGCATTAAAGAATGCATTAGTTACTCTTCCTTTACCTCAGAGAAAATAATGGTTTCATATGAAAATAATAGATGTGAAGCCGAGAGGTGGGGTTACCTTAACTACAGTATCCTCAAAATCTTTGAACAAACCTCTCTCCACCACCCTTGGCTCCATTTTGCCAAAAGCCTCCATCGCCATGTCGAATAAAGAGGGACATGAAATATCCTATTCAAGGAATTGTGAGCTACTAAAAATCTAGTTGTTGTGCCATTAATTAGGGTGGGATATCAAGTGTATGGGTAGATGCTACTCATTGGTCACGTGGCTCTTTAATGGGCTTTTTAATAGAAGCAATCCACTTGTCAAGCCACTTGGCCACATGGCTCACTAAACCTTGAGGATTGAAGAATCTTGTACTTCTCTTTCCTCGAGAAGTTCTTTCACGCAGATAAACCTTGAGGATTGAAGAAGGGTTCAATGATTTCTTCCCCACAGATAAACCTTGAAGAAAGCCCCCGAGTTTTTCCCTACAAATAAGCTTCGATTAGCTACACCAGGCAGAAGTTTGCCCTTATCTTTATACTCATTTTTTAACAATATTTTATGTCTTTTACATAGGTTTGCATTGTCTTACTCTCTATCCACTTTCTCATTTTATTTTATTTTTTTCTGGGAATTTTTCATAATTATGTGGAAAAGAGTTCCACAATGCTTCATTGTGTCATTGTGATTGAATGTATACATAACTTTACAACTTCACTACCCTTGATGAGGTGTTACGTTCCTCTCTATTTTTGCAGTCAATAATTATCATGTTTGACAGACTCCATTTGTTGCTTTTCTAGTTGATCTAATAGTTGCTTATTTGTAGGTGATTTGTTCAATAACCATTTATTTTTAGATGCATTATTCCTTATGAATCAAATGGTTGTGACCAAGATAATTATGTATTGTAGATTGTAAAATATTGGGTGAAGCAGTTAACTCGCCAGAGAGGGTACACAGATCAAATGGTGGAAGATGCAAATGCTGTCATATTTACTTTTGGGTCATATCGGCTGGGGGTAAGTATAAGCCTGCAATGCTTCTCTCTCTGTTTGATTTAAGAGAACCTCTTTTTGCTCTGGATTTCCCTCTTTGGTCTCCACTGGGTGGATCTTACAATTTTAGGGAGTTTAAATTGTCCATATCACGTGAGCTTTGCGTATGAGGCATCACAAAGTGATGCTTTTCATGTTCTGGTTGAGGATTGTTCAAGATGTTGGTCTCATGGGAGTCAGAATGCAACACTATTCTCAGTTGCTCGGCTATTTGGTGTATGTAAATTTGGAAATCATTAAAATGCAAACTTTTGCAAGAGTTTCTTCATAATTATTATGACATAATAATAATAATAATAAAAAGATGAAAATTTCTAATGAATGCCAAAAGAATAGTCATATCAAGCCACTCAGAACAGTGTATCACTTAGAATTATCTGGAATCAGTGTTGTCAAAGGTGCGCCTAGGCGCTAGGCTCATAAAGGCACAAGACTTGCTCCTGTTCTGTGCCCCAGGAGTGCCTTTGACAACATTTGCGCCTTTTATATGGAAGATGAATACTTTAATGGTAATTTATTTTTTTCCATTGTGCACCTCATTTCACTTAGGCACACGCCTTGCCTTGCGCCTAGGCTCCAGAGGACCCCTAGCACCTTAGTGCGGCTTGGGCCTTCGATAACACTATCTGGAACGGTATGAGAGTTCAAATTATTTGGTAACAATTTTTATTGTTTTCTTGGCCTCTCTGAAGGTCTAAGGCGCCCTTTGGCCCTTTTGTTTCCTTTTGTTTCTTTGGGCTTCGCTCCCCTTTTGAGTGTTTTTAATAAAATCTTACTTATCAAAAAAAAAAAAATTTATTTGGTAACCATTTGAAAATTTGGAGAGCTTACCATAATAAATTTCCAAATTTACTGTTCGAAAAACAAGGAGATTTTTTCTATTCTACCGAGCATATGAATCTTGGTTGAGAATCTTGGTTGTGGTAATTTTAGGGCTGGACCAACTTGCATGCTACAGAGTTAAAATTTCAGGTTGATATTAGGTTTCTTTAATTGATTTGGACCTCATAATTTAAAGTTTTAATCATAAGGTAGTGATGGCATTGTATTTTGAACTTTTTTTTTTCTTTTTCTTTTTGTTTGATAACTGAGATGCACTCATGTCCTAACTGGAATTTGAATCCTGCATTTCCCCTTTTGGGGACTGCAGGAGATACCACTCAAGCTAGCAACTGGTGGTTTGGTTTTAGATTTTGGTGTTTGAGAGGAATAACCAGGCAAGCTTGTCAAAAACAGAGAGAAAAAAAGAAAGAAAAAAAAGAAAAGGAAAAGATGTTACATAGGAGATGGAGTAGAATTTGAAATCTTGTGATGGGAATAGTGTTGACTTTTGGAGTTTCAAGATGCTATCGAGAAGAATTAAGCAACATAATCCACATCCAGGTCTTGGCCTTGCACTTATTTAGTTGCTGAGAACTAATAGAAGGGATTGGTCTAAGTGTGGCAGTTTAGAAGGATCACTATAAAGGTATTGTCAACGAAGAAAACAATATACTGGAGATGGAGTAGGAGCTAAAATCATGTTTGATGGATGTAGTGTTGACATGGAATTCTGAGATGGAAGTTTTATAGCAGCCAAAAAGAATGCAAGAATTCCTTACTTCTTTAATTTCTGACTTTTGTAATACTTATTTTTATATTGTTTCCAAATTTCATATACCATCGCTGAATGAGTTTCTTTCTAGATATGGGGAGATATAGCAACAAATTATTCTGTTGACAGGTACATGGGCCGGGGTCTGACATGGACACCTTGTGTGTTGGGCCGTCTTATGTGAACCGAGAGGTGCATAATAAATGTCTTCTGATTCATTTTGATTAGTTTTGATGAATCTGCAAGTATCATTCTTGAAGATTTACTCTTTTTTTATTTTTTGAAAAGATTTACTCAATGTTTGTATTCTCCTCCAGGAAGATTTCTTTATTGTTTTGCATGATATTCTAGCTGAAATGGAAGAGGTTACTGAACTTCAGCCGGTTCCAGATGCTCATGTCCCAGTAATGAAGTTCAAATTTCAGGGAATATCAATCGATCTCCTTTATGCAAGTATATCCCTTTTGGTTATACCAGAAGTAAGTGCAGACAAGTTTTTGAGTTTGTAGCCTTTGTTTTGTTATTTGAATTTCAGTACTGTTGTATATGTTATATTTAAATGTTAAATGATTGTACTCTGCTCAAGCTTATATGAAATTTTTGCTATTGCCTTTATTTTTTACATAGTGGGGCTTGTGTATGATCTGGCACTCAGCTTGCATGGAAAAATTGTAGTCATTTGACAATACATTGTTCAGTAAATGATATGTGAGGATATCTCAGCAAAGCATTCTCTCAACTACTAAATGATCTATAAGCATATTGACCGTTAAAAACTTTTCAGACAATTCAGACGCACCAGTTAGCAACTAGCCTCCATTGATTCTGTAAACTGTATAAAGTTAATTCTTATTGGCGGTTTATTCTTCTTTTGCTTCGGCCTTTATAGAAACTTTTTTAATTTAACACCACTATTTAAATCTTACCTCCGATGCTCGAGTTTCAGTGGTTCTTTTCTTGTTCTTTCATTATTATCTTCCTTATTTCTTTTCTGCATGCCACATCATAGCCTGAGAAGCTATTTGGAGGACAAAGTGAATGAGGAGTTTGTAGTCCTAAATATTGGTTGAATGATTAGCGTGGGATGTGAAAAAAAATTGATGGAGACAATTTCAGATCTGATATCTTACTTCCAGTTCATATTGTTGGTGTATGATTCCAGTAATACTGTGCTTCTTACTTTATATTAATTTATTTTAACTTTCTTATATATATATATATATATATATATATATATTCGAGGTTCTGATCCATTTTTCTCTCTGGCTGATATATTATTGTTGCGGAACTAACTTGTTTGCAGGATTTGGACATCTCACATGGGTCTGTTCTGTATGATGTGGATGAGCAAACTGTTCGAAGTCTTAATGGATGCAGGGTTGCAGATCAAATTCTTAAACTTGTTCCAAATATTGAGGTGAACATATTACCTGCTTTATTTTGACTTATCTAGCAATCTGATTGATTTTACAGCTCTTTAACCCTTTCAAAAAATGTAGCACTTCCGCACGACTCTCAGATGTTTAAAGTTTTGGGCTAAAAGGCGCGGTGTTTATTCAAATGTAAGATGGGATCCTTCAGGTTTACTTTTTTCCTTCTGTTATTATATCAATCTCAGCTTATGGTTCTCATGTTCTTTCTCTTTCCCCGTCGTCTATAGGTTACTGGATTTCTTGGCGGTGTAAATTGGGCTCTTTTGGTTGCTAGGATATGCCAGCTTTATCCCAATGCTATTCCTAGTATGCTGGTTTCCAGATTCTTCAGAGTCTATACACAGTGGCGTTGGCCAAATCCTGTGATGCTTTGCTTGATAGAAGAGGATGAACTTGGGTTTCCCGTCTGGGATCCTCGAAAAAATCCTCGGGACCGAACTCATCATATGCCAATTATAACTCCCGCATACCCTTGTATGAACTCTAGCTACAATGTCTCAACAAGTACTCTGCGGGTAATGATGGATCAATTTCACCATGGAAACAGCATCTGTGAGGTAAGGTCAAAAGGGATATTCTTCCTCTTTTCTATTTTTTGGTTAGGTAAGTACTTACACACACATTTCACAAATTGCCCACTATGGGGCTTGAACCCCACCTTCCCTTTGAGGGAGGAGAGGTTATACCATTGGGCTACTGGCTCACTGGTCTCCGTTATCTGTTTTTTGTTTAATTACTGATGCCCCTGCGGTTTTTTTTTTTTTTTTTTTGATGAATCCAGGAGATAGAGTTGAACAAAGCCCAGTGGAATTCTTTTTTTGAGCCTTACCTGTTTTTTGAGGCATACAAAAACTATTTGCAGATTGACATAATTGCTGCAGATGCAGATGATTTGTTAGCTTGGAGAGGCTGGGTGGAATCGCGGCTCAGACAGCTCACACTGAAGGTAATATTTATGTTTATCTGGTCTATCATTAACTAAGTTACTTATGCATGATAGTTTGTCTGGAGGGTATGACAATGAGAGAGAAATTGTTATTCCCTTATTTCTGCTTTCTTTTAATCACTTTGCAGATAGAAAGGGACACGTATGGGATGTTGCAGTGCCATCCTTATCCAAATGAGTATACAGACACATCCAAGCCATGCCCCCATTGTTCTTTTTTCATGGGCTTGCAGAGGAAACAGGGAGTGAGAGTTCAGGAAGGCCAGCAATTTGATATACGCGGAACAGTTGACGAGTTTAGACAAGATGTAAACATGTATATGTTTTGGAAACATGGGATGGATATCTATGTTTCTCATGTTCGAAGGAAGCAAATTCCGGCATATGTTTTTCCTGATGGGTATAAACGACCACGACCATCAAGGCATACAAGCCAAGGGGTTGATAGAAGTCCTGGAGTTGATGCTGAAGGCTGCAGGTCAAGATCAGAAGGGCACCCCAAGAGGAAACATGGTCCTGAAATGGAAGATGTGAAGGCAGAAAAACGAGGGAAGCGAAACTCTATTAGCCCACAACGGCTTGATTCGGTTTCTTCTGCCTTCAGTGAGGAGGTTAAATTACAGCACTTGGTGGCTGGGAATGTGGATAGCAATTTAGAGAATAGGTCATCTAGTGGGCTAGTAGAGAGTGAAAGAGGTAATGTTGTGTGTGATGTGCAAAAATTGGGAGAAACTGATGATCAGAAATCCGTCACCCCGAATGAATGTAATTCCTTAAATGCATGTGATACATCAGGAGTTTGGAATGAGGTAAAGCCAAATGAACCTGTGGCAGAACCCCCTCCTAGCAAAGAGCTGTTCGCTCCATGTGAAGTTAAGACTCAGTTTAATTTAAAGGTTAGACTAAAGGAGGATAAAGTTGAAGATCCGGCTTTAACTGATGCTGAGACTGGAAATGCTAGGAGACTGCCGAATGAGATGGAGATGGTTTTTGGCGGGGATGGAGAGCTACTAAAACCATGTAAGCAGACAGCAGGGTCAGAAAATGACAGAAGTGTTCTTGGATCAGATTCCAGCATGCAGAACCTCAATTGCGAGGTGAGTTTTTCCGCTTGAGGATTTTGGGTTAGCAAATGACAACGAGAATACCTAAAGTTTTGAAGATAGTGAGAACTAGGAATCCTTGCAGGGTGCTGTGTGTGCAGCAGATTCAGACTCACTACTGGGAAATGGGTGTCTAAATGGGAACGGAATATGTGAAAACAACTTGATGGAAGAATTGAAGGTTGTGAATCTAAGCTACTTGATCTCCCCCCCTCCCCCCCCTGCTACATATATAATTTTTCCCCTTCTGTTGCATTTATTATAGTTGTGTGTGATATATATTCTATTCCCTTTTTCGTGTCCAATTATTTATTTATTTATTTTTATGGTGGGTCATTGTGGCAGACACACTGGCCTTTCTTTAGATTTTTTTTTTGGAAAAATCTTAAAGCAGGGTACTTAGATTTAATGAAGTATGTCGAGCACTTATATACGGCCTTCAAGTAGAAGACTGACAGCCAACAATCAATGTATAAACCGACCCTTGGGGCTGAATCTAGATGGCTTGGGTTGTGCGCCACCATACAGATCTGTCAGATCAACAAGTCCTGAAACTGAACTCATCCCCCAAACCTCTCCCTAAGCTTGGGAAGGATACCTAAAGCCCTCCTATTTAAGGGAATACATATTATGGCCCCAGAACCAAAGGTAGAATAAAGGACTTCGTGGTGAAGGATAATTGGATGATTTTGGAATAGAGGATCTTATGCTGAATGAGAAGGATAATCAGATGTTTTTCGACGTTGTCTAATCTTTATTTTTTATATGTTTTCTGTTAACTGACTGCAACTTTTATATAATCAGGTGTTCCATTATCATTTGATCATTGTAACTTTTTCCTCAGACAATCTCTTAACTGGTGCATATGTCGTGGTTGGGTCCTTCACCACTATACGTGCTACAGCTGCAGTTACTGTGCTTAAGAACCCGACCATGTTTTGTGTCCAAGGCTTGGATACATGATCCTCCTTTCTCCATCTATTTCCTAGTTATTATTTATTTTTTGAATTTTAAACCTTCTGTTTTTTTCTCTTGTTTTATGTAGCCAAATACTGCCCTTGGGACGGTAGAAGCTCAGGATGGGCTAGTTCTGAATCTGTGCAGAAGTCGGTCTTAAGGCACGTGTTTTTTAGCCTTAAATTCTGTGTATGATTGATCTTATCTTTATACTGCCGTGTTTGGTTGTTTGCGTGGCTTTCTTTTTAGCAGGTTGAGCCTGAAATCAACTGCGTAGAAGTTGGGAAATGAATTATCCTATGAACTGTTGCTGTGGAAGGAGAGGACCAACACCTTGGACGGGAAGCTTTCGTCATGGTCTTTAAGGTGCACACATTTGTGTCATCTTACAGACTGGGGAGCAAGAGCAATGGAGAGAATTGTGCATAACCGGACCTTTTAGTAAATACCGTTCTGGTGGTGTATTATGCTGTCTTAGAAGTTGTTTTAGCCATCTGTACCAAGGACTGAAAGTAAAAAGGAAAAAAAAAACAAAAAACAAAAAACAAAAAACGAAAGAAAAAGAAAAAAAACTTGTGATCCTTTGAACTTTGAAGTTGCTACATGAAAGGAAGCTTGGTGCTTTCTAGACTTGGCAGCGTGTTATTTTAGTAGCTTTTCTTCTTGTTATTGTGCATATGAGGTCATCCAGCCATCTGTTCTAGATAAGACTCAGTGAGTGGTGTGGTTTGAGTTGCAAGGGATGTGCTTTTTCATCTGTTTTACTATGTCACCTGTGGTAGTCGGTACACATATGCTTTGGTAATGCAGTTCTTCCCTCTCCCCCCCTCCCACACACCGCCCAACTCTCTCTCTCATGCATGGATCAAACTTCTTTTAAGACACGTTTGTTTTTAGCAGTTCCCCGTATTGGGTGAATTTTATTATCAACGGGGAAATTTCACCGTCATAGTAGCGAAATTATTGTGGTGAAATTAAGTATTTCACCAACCAAACCGCGGTAAACGCAATGAGATAGGGTTTTGGTTCCTCATGAACATGACATGCTTGAACGCACTGTTAGCTACCTCATTGTGACAATAGATCTGAGTAATATGGGTTCAAGAACTTTTAATGGTTAGGAAATTAAATCAAGAAACATTAAACGAACTTTTAGCCAGAAGCAGATGGTTACTCCTCACAAAATTATATAGTATTGGGCATATTGAATTATGCAAATATGCTTTTTAGCAAATATGGTCAGATGGACATCTTGGGAATTGAAGTCACCAACTTTTTTGCAAATTAGGTAAGTTGGTGGATTGTTGCTTGTTTATTTTCTGAGTACAAAATTTACTTATGCCCGTGAGGGGAAATCATATGTTCCCATGCTGATTCTGGTTAAGAAAAAGAAGAAAAAACTGTGTCTTTTAACCATAAGTTTAGTACAGCAAATACTCATATAGATGCTTGATCAGCGCAGTCCATCTGATACATTTTTACCGGGCTTGTAACTGTTGAGATACTTGGCAGTGCCGAAGAATCTGCAAAACCTCTTTCATGGAAGGCCTAGAGGAGGGTAACCTGGTCGTACATATGAGACCTAGTCTGAACATTGTTGACATTTCTTCCAAGTAACCTGGTTCCTTGATTTCCTCATCTAATGCATCAGCAACAGAGTTTCCCTCGCCGTGGTGTCGCCATGCCCATTCTGCAAGGCTTGTATGCTCATCTCCATCACAGGCTTCTCTTCCCGTCGCCAATTCCAGAAGCACAACACCAAAGCTGTAAACGTCGATCTTCTCATTCACTTTCGTCGTATAAGCATACTCTGTAATCAAAATACATACAGTGCTACACCCATTAACCGATTTTTGATTCGAGAGAGAATGGAAAAGGAAGAGAAGAGTGTGTTAGGCTCTTACCTGGGGCAATATAACCAACTGAGCCAGCAACAACAGACATTGTGTTAGGGTCATCATGCCTGACTAAAATCTTGGCCAGGCCAAAATCAGCAATTCTTGCTTTGAACTCAGAATCCAGCAATATATTGCTACACTTCACGTCCCGGTGAATGATGGATGGAGAGCAGTCATGGTGCATGTAGCACAGGCCTTGTGCAGCTCCAATGGCAATCTTCAACCTCTTCGGCCAATCCAAGACAACATGCTGAGCTAGAAGACTATTCACCGATGAGTCCCCAATCCTCTTCTTCCCACGCAGCCATCTATCAAGACTCTGATTCTCCATGTACTCGTAGACGAGCAGTTTCGAATCCTCACTCGAAATGCAGCACAGTAGCTTCACTATATTCGAATGTCGAATGCTTCCCAGTATCTGAACCTCAGCCAAAAACTCCTTCTCCATGTTGTGGTCTAATTCTCTGTTGTTCTGAATCCTCTTCACTGCAACACGATCACCCAAACGGTTGACAGCAATCCGATACACCTTCCCTGACCCTCCACTTCCAACCAAATTATTTTCTGTCAAACTGGACAGAACATCGGCCTCTGTAAAATCCAACCTCTGAAATGAGGTCAGCTTCCATGTCGCGATTCTGCATCTCTGCTTCTTCTTCTTGTAGTCTCTGATCACACACAAGGTCAATAAAACAGTAACTAAGCAAGCAAGTACCCCCAAAACTATCATCATAGCAACAATCCTCGGCGATAACTTTTTGGATTCACTGCTTCTGGTAAAACAACTATGGAGATTTGAAATTGGGTTTCTAGCACAAAGATTGGTATTGTTCAAGAAACTGTTTTCATATGCCATATTATCAAAATCATTTGGGATTTCACCGGAGAGTTGGTTGGAGGACAAGTTGAGAGAAGTGAGCTTCAAAAGGCCTAATTCAGGTGGAATTGGACCCGAAAACTGGTTCTCCGACAAGTCTAGTTCAAGAATGTCCGGCAATGAACCGATCAATGCCGGAATTTGGCCATGGAGTTTGTTCCTAGCAAGATTCAGATTGGTTAGAGACTTCCATGACAAAATCTTTGATGGAAATTCACCGGTCAGTTGATTACCGTCGAGCAACAAAGTGTTGAGTTGAGGAAGGGCGGTCAACTCCACCGGAATTTCGCCGGAAAACTGATTGTTGCTGGCTTCAAAAACAACCAATCTCAACCAAGAAGAAACCCCAACTGGGATTTGACCCGAAAACTTGTTGTTACTCATCTCCAACCTCGAGAAGTTCAAAGCTAACTTGCTCGGAAGCTCACCGGAAAATGAGTTGTCACTTAGCATCAACATCCATAAATTCAATGAAGTCCAGAGACCTAAAGGAACCTCGCCGGAAAAGTTGTTGCTATAGAGCTGAACCGCGCGAAGAGTATCGCAGTTTCCGAGCGTTTTGGGGATTTCTCCGGTGAGATTGTTGGAGAAAGCGACCACGCCTGTCAGAGACCCTCCGGCGCACAGATTCTCAGGTAATTTTCCGGTGAATTCGTTCTGTGAAACCTCGAAAGCTTCGAGCTTCGAGTGAAACCCAAATTCAGGTGGCAAAACTCCACTCAAATTGTTACTGAAAACCCTAAAATGCTTCAGATTCGGTAATAGGCCGATGCTTGGCGGAATTTCACCAGAAAATTGATTCAAATACAGATTCAAAATCGTTAGGTTCTGTAATTTTCCGAAATCTTCAGGTATCGAACCGGTCAAATTGTTCCTAGAAATATCAATTTCGATCAAATTCAACGACTCAATCAACGGAGGAATTTCACCTGATAATCGATTCTTGTATAGATACACAATACTCAGATTCTTCAACAAGAACAATCCCGGAGGAATCACGCCGTGTAAATCGTTGAACGTGAGATCCAAGTGTTCGAGACTCGAGAGATTCGAGAAACTTTCCGGTACTTCGCCGATCAAATTCGTCTCCCTCATCCAAAGAAACTTCAATTTCTTCAACTTCCCGAACTCCGGCGGTATCGCCGACGGCACGAAGTTGTTATACGCCATGCCTAAATACTCAAGATTCGACAAATTTCCGATTTCCGCAGGGAAAGTGCCGGTGCCGTTGAATTCATTTTGGTAGAGATACAACTTCTGTAACTCCGGTAACCGGCCGATTGACGGCGGGATATTTCCTGTGAAGCTGTTGGCGCCGATATCCAGGCACCTTAGAGTGGAAATCCGGTCGATGTCGGCCGGAATCGAGCCGGCGAAGTAGTTCTGAGAGAGGTTTAAGTATCGGAGATTGGAGCAATTGTATAGAATTGTAGGGAACTTTCCGGGGATGTAATTCAAACTAAGGTCGATCTCAGTGAGGTTTTGGAGATCGCATATTGTCGCCGGGATTTCTTTGGTGATGTTCTTGTCCCGAAGAATTATTCCCGTGACCGAGCCATTGGTGCATTGAATCTCCGGCCAATCGCAAGGCGAGGATGAGGCGTTCCACGATTGGATCAACGGTGGATCGCCCCACTGTTGTTTGAGCTTCAGTAAAACTGTCAGGTCAGTCGCCGGAGATTGTGAATTTACATGGAAGGGTATGGTGATGAGGAAAAAGAAGATGAAAGCGTATTGGATTTTGAGAAATGGTGAGGGTATTCTCGACATTTGAAGACGTTTCTTGCTTCGGTGGTGTGTTTTGTTTTTTCCGCGGGAGAGGTTGGAGAAATAACGGTCGGTTTTCAAAATTGGTGAGCGATTTTTCAACTTTTCTTACGATGACAGATTTATATATACTTTCTCAGTCCAACTTAATTATCCATATTTCCTTTTTTGCTGGTTCTAAATTAATTGTTCTTTAAAGAAAAATAAATGCTTGTTTCATAATTATTTTTTTAAATTTTAAATTTTTTTAAACTTAATAACATACATATTCAAACTTAAAAGGATTACATCGTAATTTTAGAAGGAATAATGCATTAATTATATCTTCCTATAAAAAGTTTTAGGCACAATTTGGTTGAAAAAAAAAAACAAAAAAATTATGGAGGTGAATGTTATATCCTATTTGAATAAATTACTAAAGAAAAAGAAAGGAAATAAAAGAATTTAAAGGGATACAACTTAGAACATCTCCGATGCAAAATGATATTTTCATATCAAAATTATTTTGAGAGGAATTACAGTGTCAAAATGCTATATTTTAACAATTATGTTTCAATAGTGCATTTCATCCAAAATATTATTTGGAGTGTACTATTTTCATTCACTTGTTATATTTTGAGAAACGACACCTTATGAGAAAAAAAAATCTCTTAAAATTTTTAAGAACTGTTATATATGGCAATACTTTTGATAATCTCAAAATATTAGAAGTCTTTTTTATAGTCCATTAGAATGTATTATATTCATCTACCTGTTATATTTTGATTTTGAGAGGTCCTTTGAGAGGGGCATTAGAGATGCTCTTAGGCATATCGAAAAGAGTTAGAAAGTTAAATAAAATTTTTTAAATATTGGTTTTGTTTTAATACTTGGTATTTTTATAATAGGCATATATTTTTTTTATTCAAACATGATTACTACTATTTCTTATTTTTTATTAATTAACCAAATACGACACATGATTAACATTATGTTTTATTTCCTCTCTCATAATTACTAACTAATGTTATTATTTATTTCCTTTTCCATTATACTAAATCTAGCCTTTCACACAATAAAACCTAAGTCACGCCTAAGTCGTAGAAGTAGGAGTGAGACTGAATACGGGAATGAAAATGTGAAAATAATAGAATTAAATCATAAGTAGAAAGAATTTAAACGAGAATGCACAGAGAATGTGGTGAAAACACACTCAGAGCAAATGAGCAACGGCTACTGAAAAATGATTGTGTCTTGGAATAAAACTCTTTTTATGGAACAGACAATTGTATGGCGTGTGAACGGACTTTTACATGCCTGGTGACGTGGAGTCAACTTTGGAGTGTTGGTTCTCAGATAACATTTCTCGTGGGTCCGGTCGTGAATTCGGTGATACTTTTGGTAAGAGGAAATAGTTTGACCTGATATAAATGTCACGTGCAGATGTGTTTGGTTTGACTGAAAAGTGAATAGAAAGTTAGACCGAAAGAAAGGAAAATCAAAATGAAGATATAATATTTTTTTTAAGAGTTCTAATAGAATTCAACCACGTTATATTTGAAGGAAAAATTGATAATTAATGTCAGAGGATCTATCATTCTTATTAAATGAATTTATATATAGTTGAAATTTTTTGTTTGGATAATTTTAAAAATTAAAGTAAATACGTTGAAAAGCTAAATGAGTAATTTTCTAGGGAAATATGAATTCTTATACCATCCATTTAAAACATTATGCAGTAAGACATTTCATTTTAAAGAGATAAATAAAATGAAATAATTGTAAGTTCAAACATAATTTTTCGAGAATTTTTCTAAAAAATTTCGTTTTTTTTGTTGAATTTTTTTGAAAGATAATTAAGTGCTTATGACAATTATTTTTCATCAAATTTTTTTTTTTTCAAATTCTTAATGTTAATAAAATTTCTATTTTCTTCACTTTCCACTACTTTTTGTCTAACCATACTAAGCCATAGTAAATTATAGGAAGGATGCATATGCATATGACAAACTTGCAGTTCTTGGACTACCATTTTAAATTTGAATTAGAGTGAAAATGACTTGTTCCAAATGATTTTGGTAAAATAATGTCAATAAAGTTGTTGGATAAAATAGGAATACTAAATAAAAAGACAATTGCTTTTACGGGGAAATAAAATTTGCCAATGTTTAGTGCAGGGTTATGAGAATCTTAATTTTTTTTTTAGATCTTTTCATTTTCTATTTAACCAAACTACAAACAATTTTAAAATTTTCTATTTCCTTTCTTTTTCAATTGATTATATCTAACTAAACAAAGCCTTTAAAAGAAAATAAAAGTGAACGCTTTCTCCCTGCTATTTCCTCTCTATTAGTTTGCTTATACTCCATGTTATATTTTCTGTTCTCTACTTGAGATGTTGGTGTCATATTTATAATAATGATGTATTTATACTCTCTTATATATATATATATATATATATATATATATATATATATATATATAAAGTATCTACTATTTCTGTGTGTGTGGAGTGTAATTTTATAGAGTGACATTTTTGTGTATCAGTTTGCGAGGCTATTCTTAGAAAAACATCTCCCATCTTTTTATTTGAGAGTATTTTACATATTGAGTTTATTATTGGCAAGAAGACTTACATAAACTTTAGATCTAATTTTTGTTGTATCATACAAATGGAGAAGACTTCGCTGCAAGCTGATTGAGTTGTAAAACCCACATGAAGGAGACTATTATCAACTCTAGGTCAACATGTTTACATATGCGTCCTCTATCAAGCTAACACTTTCTTACTTATTTTACCATTGTCATTTTCTTTCTTGATTTCTAAAATTATATTATTTTTCTATTATCGAGATTAAATTATATGATTAATGATTATCCACTCTTATTATTCATATTGATGTATCACTCATTAAATTGAAAGAATTGCAAAGTATTATTGATATATTCACCAACTTTAAAGCCAAGGTGTTGGCCCAATTGAAGCTATTTTTTTTCAAATTTAGACAAGTTAGTGAACTTTTGCTTGATTGTTTTCTAGCAGAAGAGCTAACCAGTTGAGTACAAAATTTACATATAATGAAGGGAAATCATATATATTCCTATGCTGATTCTGGCAAAAAGAAAAAAAGGGCAAACTCTTCCAACTAAAACTCAAGTACAGCAAATACTTAAATCATCATATAGCAAGCTAGAATGTCACACACTGGAGACCAAACTATCATCATCATCATCATCTCCATCTGATACCCTTTTACTGCGCCTATAACTGGCGAGATACTTGGCAGTGCCTAGGAGGGGGGAGACGTCGTACTCCATCCCGGCCTTCTTCCCTCCATCGCCCTCCAGAGGACTGCACCGACGAAGAATCTGCAAAACCTCTTTCATGGAAGGCCTAGAGGAGGGTAATGTGGACGTGCATATGAGCCCTAGTCTGAACATTGTTGACATTTCTTCCAAGTAACATGGTTCCTTGATCTCCTCATCCAATGCATCAGCAGCAGAGTTCCCTTCTCCTTGGTGTCGCCATGCCCATTCTGCAAGGCTTATGTGCTCATCTCCGTCATTGGCTTCTCTTCCCGTTGTCAATTCCAAAAGCACAACTCCAAAGCTGTAAACGTCAATCTTCTCATTCACTTTCGTCGTATAAGCATACTCTGTGATCAAGATACAATATAGTTTAGCATCCAATTAACCGAATTCTGATTCAAGAGCAAGTTAAAAAAGAAGAGAAGAGTGAAGTGTTAGGCTTTTACCTGGGGCAATATAACCAAATGAGCCAGCAACACCAGACATTGTGTTAGGCTCACCATGCCTGCTGACTAAAATCTTGGCTAGGCCGAAATCAGCAATTCTTGCATTGAACTCGGAATCCAGCAAAATGTTGCTAGACTTCATGTCGCGATGAATGATGGGTGGAGAGCAATCGTGGTGCATGTAGTAGAGGCCTTGTGCAGCTCCAATGGCAATCTGCAACCTCCTCGGCCAACCCAAGACAACGTTTTGAGCCGGACCATTCACTGATGAGTCCCTCTTCTTCTTCCCATGAAGCCATCTATCAAGACTCATATTCTCCATGTACTCGTAGACAAGTAGCTTCGAATCCTCACTTGAAATGCAGCACAACAGCTTCACTATATTGGAATGTCGAATGCTACCCAAAATCTGGACCTCTGCCAAAAATTCCTTCTCCAGGTGGTGGTCCAATTTTCTGCTGTTCCAAATCCTCTTCACCGCAACAAGATCATCCAAACGGTTGACAGCAATCCGATACACCTTCCCCGACCCTCCACTTCCAACCAAATTATTTTCTGTCAAACCGGACAGAACATTTGCCTCTGTGAAATCCAACCTCTGAAATGAGGTCAGCTTCCATGTCGCGATTTCACATCTCTTCTTCTTCCTCCTGTAGTCTCTGGTTACAAGCAAAATCAATAAAACAGTAACTAGACATACCAGTACCACGAAAACTACGATCAAAGCAACCCTCCTCGTCGATAACTTGTTGGATTCACTGCTTCTGGTGAAACAACTGGGGATGTTTGAAATTGGGTTTCTGGCACAAAGATTGGTGTTCAAGAAACTGTTTTCATAGGCCAAATTATCAAACTCATCTGGGATTTGCCCAGAGAGTTGGTTGGAGGACAAATTGAGAGAAGTAAGCTTCAAATGGCCTAATTCAGGTGGAATTGGACCCCAAAACTGGTTGGAGGACAAGTCTAGTTCAAGAATGTCCGGCAATGATCCAATCAATGCTGGAATTTGGCCTTGGAGTTTGTTCCTAGAAAGATTCAGATTGGTTAGGGACTTCCACGACAAAATCTCCGGTGGAAATTCACCGGTCAATTGATTGCCGTCAAGCAACAGAGTGGTGAGTTGAGGAAGGCCGGTCAACTCCACCGGAATTCCACCGGAAAATTGATTGTTGCTGGCTTTAAAAACAACCAATCTCAACCAAGAAGAAACCCCAACTGGGATTTGACCTGAGAAATTGTTGTTACTGATCTCCAACCTCGACATGTTCCAAGCTAATTTGCTCGGAAGCTCACCAGAAAATGAGTTGTCACTCAGCATCATCTGGGACAAATTCAATGCAGTCCAGAGACCCGAAGGAACCTC